ATATAGATATAACCGCCTGTACTAACATACGTATGGTGTCTTCCCAATCATTCAAACGCAAAGAAACGGCTCCACACCCGACAGACACGCCTTACTTTTAGTCTGTTGCTCCATGCGGTTGGTGAGTTTCGTCACCTTCTTCTCCAAACTGACCGACAGCTCTACTAGCTCGGCTTTCTCCAGACACTGCACGTCCACCTAGGTACATACGTATTCCCAAAGATGCGTGGTTTTAGGGTTTTAGGGGTTTAGGGTTGACGATAAGGCGCATGTGGTTGTACACAAGACTAGTCGCAATGATCAAAGTGTGTAAAGTCCTAGTGTATAGTTTGTACTGGTATACAGGCGCGTCTTGCGAGTTTTGATAGAGTCTACGGACAAATGACACAGGGATTTAGGGGTTAAGTTATTTCCTAAACCCTAAATCGGGCGTATGCTGAGATTTACGAGGATTGGCGAACGACAACAAACCACTCAATACGCAACAAACATGGACATGCATATGCAATTCACACACACAGCGGCACCCACGAAGCAAGCCGAATATAGCGCAACCAAACACACACACACACACACTATACACACCCATTCATAGCGAACCAACACCGAAACGATACCGTATACAAGGCGCAAGGCCCCGCACTAACCTCTGCCTGTCTCCGCGTGTCACATACCTCCTGTCCTGCGATGTCCATCATAGCTGGTGTGTGTGTTGAACGTTGTCTCTGCAACGGACTGCTAGGCGGCGGCGCGTGCACCGGTCGGGGTGGCGGCACCTCCGCCTCCCCGATTTTCCCGCCCTTTCCCCCACTGCCCTTATTTGGTAGCTCGCGCGGGTCCCGGTCAGGAGCACCGGTTTGCGTATGCAAGTGGCCCCCCTCCTCCTCCTGGCTACCTACACCAGGGTTTCTAGGGTTTCCAGGGTTTGCACCGGCATCGAGTTCGCCAGCACTCGGCTGCACAGATGCGGCTTCTGAGTTTTGATTGGCTGCCGTAGCCTCTGACCCGGAAGTGAACAAATTACTCTCAGACTCCTGTGCACCTGGGCCATCCCTGTCTGTCGCTTCCACAACATCACACTCAGCCTCTGCCTCTCGGCCACTCGGCGTATCTTCGGGTACCTCCGCTCCATCTACCTTCTCCTTTTCCCCACCAATGCCCATCGCATCTTCTAAGGAATTAGAAACATGTATCCTGTCATCTAATGCGTGGGTATCCGGTGCAACCTCTTCCTGGTCGTTTTGTTCCACCACATTCCTTGTTTGCTTCAGCTCAGACGCGCGGTCTTCGCTAGGCGCTTTGTCTTGGTCATCGATCACTTCACAACCATCAGACTCAGCAACACCTGCAGCAACCACCGGTGAGCC